GTGTTTATGTGTTTAGTCACATAGAGGTCATTGGTGACCTTTGCCACAGAAGTTTCAGAAGAAAGGCAAAAACATGGATTATTGGGCCTGAGAAATGACAGGGAAGTGAAAGCTTGTTTCAGTGTTTGCTGTATGTTTCCTCAACTTTCTTTTACTAGGCTAAGAAAGATTTTTCTTCCTAAGTTTTTTTTTTAAATAAGAATTAGATGTTAGATATGTATTCAGTCAAGTAACCAATAGTTTTTTCTTTAATGAGGTTAATAGATTTCCTAATGTAGAACTATCCTTTCTCCAGATAAACCTTACTTAACACTGCTAAATCAGCTGCCTTGAGAATGGCTTTGTCCCACATTTTAGTATAATAGTATGCAGCTAGCCAACTAAAAGCCCTGAAGGTCACTCACAGAATGTGAAAATACAAGCAGCATATATACTTACTGTGTCCCACAAATCTTGGATGCTGCCCTGTTCTTAGGATACCAGGTCTTTTAACTTTGTTAAGCTATGTGATTATGAATCTATAATCATTCTCAATCTCCATGTTTTCAGACTTAAAAATTTACTTTTTCCCCTGTATTGCTATGATCATGCAATCATTAAAGTAGATACTGATTATGAATGTATTATTGTACATTCATTAGTAGATTGAAATAAAGTGTTTACATTGGTAAAATTAGGGTGCTATACTGAAAATGGGCTGTGGAGGTTTAATAAAACTATGGAAGAATCCCCTTTGAACTCAGTTTACAGGATTCTTGGCTTTTTTCATTTTAATGTCTCTAATAACACATCCATCAGAACACCTTACCAAATTGTGACTACAAAATTTTATTTTAGGATTAAAAAGAATTCAGTTGTGGCCACTTCCTCCATCCTCCCAGATCCTGTCAATATTTGAAAATTATCAATGGTTCTCCCATACCTTAAATAATTTTAGCAAGAATGTCTAATTTTTCATTGTTCTAGGTGTCATTTTAACAAGCACCAGTTGAAATATTGAGTATTATGCATACATTTAAATAACTAAAAATGTATCTTTAAAGAGAAAATAATTCTAAATTTTTTTGCATGTTAAGGTCTTTATTACCATATATAATACAAATGCTTTCCCGAAAGTATATTCCTAACTTCTAAACCAATTTTCAATTTATTAAACTAGATTTTTACAAGAAAATTACAAGGGTATTAGATAGGCAAGAACTGCAAGGTTATGCATACTTACAGAACTTCAGGGGAATACCCAAACATAGTGTTGAATGCATGCAAAGAAACAAAAAGGCAAGATACTGTATCTTTTGGTGTTTTTTCAGTGAAACAAATCTTAAAACCCCAAAGCCAAACGAACTATTACACCTCAGTAATGTAAAAAATATGTAAATACTAGTATTCATTCATAAAGAAAGCAGTAGGTCTGAATTTGTAGTCTTGGATCAGAAAGTTAAAGCTAAGGAAGATAAACTTGACCATTGTGTATTTGGGTGATTTCCATTTTAAGATCATCAGAAGAGTGGAGAATTGAAAAATGTACTTGAAACTTTGAAGTATGGCTATTTTTCAAATTAAGGAACATAAATCTTTATAGTAATCTGTAACTCTGTTTTTCATATTGTGTGGGAAAGTCTCAATAAATATTTACATGATTAAACTAGTTATGTCCCCCAAGATGCAATACTTGCAATTTGTGTACCCTAATTTCCCATATATATTCTTTTGTCTTTTCCTTTTCAGATAACCACATTTTAATATCAGCTTTGGTGGTTGCTAGCACAGTAATTTTGACAGTTTTGGGAGCAATCATTTGGTTCCTGTACAAAAGAAATTCTGATTCTGGTTTCACTACAGTTTTTTCAACTTCACCCCAATCACCTTATAATGATGACTGTGTTTTGGTAGTTGCTGAAGAAAATGAATATGCTGTTCAACATGACTAATTTTTGGTAATCTCAGACTAAGACTTCAAATGCCTTGACAGAGATCCCAGGGTAATATTTGAATATAAAACTTGACATTGATATTAGAGCTTTTATGGTATTCCTAATTTCAGTGCTCATTGACAAAAATTAATCCTAAAGTTCATTATACAAAAACAGGCTTTAGACAAAGAATTATTATGTGTAATTTAGTGGTTTTAACCATCTCAGCAAATTCAGAGCCTTTCTCTTGAATGAAGGAAAGCTTAAAGCCTAAGAAGCAGATAAAAATTAAAACCCAGCCTACTTGGTCTCACCAGTTCTTTCCCTTCCATTTAACTGATGCCTTTAGTTGATGCCTTTACTAGTAAACATGGAATGGGGAATAAGCCTGATTTTTAAAATAGATCCTATACATTTAAATATCCTCAGTACTGGTTACATTGGCAAATAATTCCTCTAGAATGTGTATCTTCTTTTATGATTTAGAAGAAAATTTACACCCCATATGCCACATAATTTTAGTTTCATTACTTTTAGACACATTTTGGACTGCAAACACTGATCAGAAATGATTAAAGTTTAAATGAAAGTTTCTAAATTTTTTGAAATAAAAAATTATAGCCATGTCCAGGAAAGCATGGATAAAGCTGGCAACGAGGTTAGCACTTATGTAATAATGCCCCTTTAGGGATTTTTCTCCTGACACCATATCTTTTCCTGTAAGATAATCTCACAGTCCCCCAAGATTTATAAATTTTTTTCCTCCAATAAATAACATGAATGCTGTAAGCAAAGAGTGAAGAAAAATACTAAGTACAATTGCAGTAATGACAATTCACAGGTTTCATTACCTTGACTGTACATTTTAAGACAAAGGTGAAAATCATTTGGGAGTAAAAACATGCAAAAAGCTAAAACAAGTGATTTTCTTCAGCATCTGTAGCTCATACAATATTAGAAAAGATAATGTACAGACTTCATATAAACATACAGTCATGCATCAGTTAATGATGAGGATACATTCTGAGAAATGCACCCTTTAGGCGATTCTGTCAGGTCACCATCAGAGTATAACAAACCTAGATGGAACAGCCTACTACATACCTAGACTATATGGTTTAGCCTACTGCTTCTACGCTACAAACCTGTACAGCATGTTACTGTACCAAATACTGTAAGCAATTTTAACATAATCGTAAGTATTTGTGTATCGAGACAGAAAAGGCGCAGTAAAAACATGGTATTAATCTTATGGGACCAATGTCATGTATGGACCATCAACAACTGATTATTTGGCCCATGACTGTATATTGACTATATCTAGGAACCTGAAAGGTTAAAGAAAGTAATCTCTCTCCCAGACCCACACACCTCATCAATTATCTTATGAGGAATTGTTATGGGGAGATACATTATTTCTCTAGCTCGACTAATGGGCAACAAAGTCCCACCTTGTGCCATTTGTGTTCACTGACCATGAATCAAAAACACCCCACATCACAATTAATGACACTATTGTTAGTGAGATATGAATAACTACAAAAATAACTACAAAATGGTGACAGAAAACTATAGAGTGTGGCCATGTGGTACTAAAAGGGTGTTTAGAGCTCTGCTTTGTGAGATTTTGTACAGTGATTAAGATATTTATTACTGATAGGCTATTAATACTGTTTATAGTCAACATTAGCTTGGAATTCCTTCCTGTTTTTTCCTACCCAAATTCTACCACTCCTTTAAATCTCATCACTTCCCTAAAACTGTCTCAAATCTCTAGAGCTACAATGTCTAATTAGCCACTGGCCACATGTAGCTATTTAAGTAAATTAAAATTAAACATAAAGTTCAGTTCCTCAGTTATATTAGCCACATAGTTCTGTGATTAAATCACATATGGTTGGTGGCCACCATACTGAACAGTATATATTACAGAACATTTCCATTGCAGAAATTTTATTGGACAGTGTTGCTCTTGAATCTCCTTTTCCACGCGATACTCCCATACAACTAATTTTCCTATGTACATTTTGACAATTTCTACCTATTGCACTTCCAAAATAGTTGTTTTAAACTGTGATTTAATTTTAAACGTTTGATTTCATTCTTCAACAGATCTAGAGGTCCTGGTGATAAAGTGCTAAATTTTAATTTTCTTTATATATAAGAACATCTATAACAGGCCCTTTATTTATTGGTTAACAGATAATTGGATCATACATGCAGCTTGTTTACTACATTTAGAATGTAGAAATTGCTTTCTTCAACATCTTAGTTCTAGCTATTAATAACATAATTCTTTGCTTGGCAGCTATTTAGAGAGAATAACATTTTTAAAAATGTTACCTTTTTAAAAATGCTACCTTTTAAAAATTTTTGTTTTTCTCTGTAAAGATGGGGACTTCCTATGTTGCCTATGTTAATCTTGAACGCCTGGGCTCAAGCAATCTTCCCGCCTCGGCCTACTAAAGTGCTGGGATAACAGGGGTGAACCACTGCATCCAGCTCAACTATTTTTTTGTACTTAGTTGTACATGGTCTCTTTATAGAAATTTTGTTAAGTGTTTACAACTGATAACCAATGATAACCTTTTCTCTTATTCCCTCTTACTCATTTAGTGTCATATTTACATGATCATCAAAAGCTAATTTGAGAATATTTAAACACCAAGTCGTACTAAAACACTGTAATACTATAAGGCTCAAGCCATTGTTATCACTGTCATTTATCATTTAATGACAAAACTATATATAACTAAGTTCTGTGCACACCGATGGAATGTTTTCTACCATTTAGTTAAAATTTTAAAAGGAGACATTTGTCATGCTGAATTTTATTAAAATATAAATATGTCACATTCAAAACATCTCTAAGGACCCACAGAATATACTGAAACTCGCACCCTTAAATTTTGTATTTCTGCTTTAAGAAAGACAATGCAAAGATAATAGGCAAGAGTTGAGCAAATGTTTTAGAAGCATTTATGTTATTGTATGAGAAAGGATTTGAAATTTTATTAAAATTCTTGATTATAAGGTTTGAAGTCATCTTTGTGCACCAGTTTAAAAGAAAACATTTCAAACTGTAAAATAAATTAATCAGTATGCACTTTATTTCACACCAATGTTTTACATAAGACCAACAAACTGACTTTGTGTGGGCAAATTATTCATTCACATTTGAGAAATTACATGGTTTCTATTTAGGTTCTGAAAAAGGAGTTTGTTACCATAACATGAGACTTCAACCTGAAGCCAACTGAAGGTGTTTTAAAGTGTACCCCAAGAGTGCTGACAAAAGAAAAATACAGTGTTATGGAAGTATACACAACTCATGACCACAGTGTAGACCCATTCGTGGTGAATAATGTTAATCTGTTCTCCAAAGGTAGTGAAAAATATTAATAAGTCACCAAACAAATGCTCAGAATTACCAAGGAACAGTTAAAAACGACCAAGATCCAAACAGGTTATTTATATCTTATTTATCTATAAAGTGACAACACTAAAAAACACATTGAAAACCAGTGTTTTTAAACTTTGAATGTGGAATTTAAAAATGTTCCATTAACTTGAGATTGCAATAATTTTTTTTTAACCAAACAGCATTTGACTGGCAATTTCTGATATAATTTACAGCAGTAATATTCCCAAAAGGAATATGTACATACCATGGCCTATCAAATATAATCTGTGTTTTGCAAATCAATACAAAAACTTATCCATCATTTATACATTTTATATTTGTATACTTTTTAAAAATTAGTTTTACTGTAAGTGAATTTAGAATTCAAATTAAATTTGAAACTTTATATAATGAACAATCTTCATAACCTTCTCCCCATTCTTTTATTTTTATTTCTAAACACTGGAGACAAATGACTATCAAAATGAGACTGCAACTTAAGGCATTTTAGAAAGAAAAATAAATGCCATTTGGCATTTTATTTCAAAAGCATATTTTGTTCCACTTTTCTCACTAAGCAAAAAGAAGACTAAAACACGAACCTTTTTTTATAAATATGACTACAGTAATCAGAACAGAAAAAAGTTGATGGGCATTGCTTAGATATTTAAAACAAGGGTAATACTTTCCCAATCACCTAGAAGAAAAATACTTTTGATTACCAGTTTAGAAACATCAGATGTGCTGGCCATGTTAAAAGGTCCAGCAGTAGAATCTTAATTCAGCAACACTTCAGAATGAATATATATATACATGCATACATGTGTATGTATATATTCATTTTATATATAAGATAGTCAATGTATTTAATAGGCATTCCCCCACAAAATTAATTCATACTTAATTGCCAGTTTTAATAAACACTTGTTCACAGATCATCCATTTGTCTTATATGAAGTTAGGCAATATCAAATGTTCTGTTATGGTCTCCATCTTCTTCGGAATCATCCTCTGAAGCTGTTGAAAGAAAACAGGATGATCAAGAATGATTTTAAAGGGGATAAGAATGGGAGGTGTAAATATGAAGCCAGAACAGCAATGACTTGTAAAACAAAAATCCCAATTTAGTATACTGTTTGATCAAAATGATAAGTTGTCATGACAGGGTTAGGGTGGTTTGACCATGGGTGATGCCCATCCACAATGCCCCGCCCCCATATCTTTTTGTGATGTTACATAGTTTTTATAAAAATGAAAATGTTTAAAAATGTGGCTCAATAACACCTTCTAAAATGTTTCTGAGATCAATCTGTGTTCATAGTAGCTAATGATATATACACTAGAGAAAAAGTGAATTTAAGGCAAGTGCTCTCACACACCTGAGTAGAATCTGGCTTATTACCGCTGCATGTTTGATGCATCCGATGAGAATGAAAAAAAATGTACATAGAATAATAGGTTATGGATGTTCTTGCAATTTACATAAAGCTATGTCTATACAATGCCAAAATAAAGCTCTATTTAATATGTCAAAAAAGCTTTATATAGACACAGCCTAAGTTAAGATAATTGGATTCAATAAAAACCTATTGTTTCAATCCCATGTCTCCACACTGTCAGAAACTTATCACTTTTGAAACATGTCTGACCTCAGTTTATTGAAGAGTCATTAGCGGTTCAAGAGTTAATATAAAGGATCCCAAAATGTCTTTAGGAAGGATATAGTAAGTATAAAACTGGACATAATAAGTTAAAACTATGTATCTTGTGAACTGCTTTGCAAGTGAAGGAAAATGATGAAAGCTCACTAGCAAAAATCTAACTAGCATCCCCCCTACTATCAAGGGCAGAAAGGTTTAATGTACTCTCTTGTATTAATACTGGACAATTTAAGAGCATCCTGCAAATGGAATAAAACTAGATCAAAACACAGAAAAAGTATGTAATACTTATAGATAAAATCCTTATTTAATAAATAATACCAAGCATATACCTAGCTCATGACTGATATAAACACTATCACATTAAGTTCTATGCTATATCATGGAGAAATATCAAACTAATAAAATATAACAGCTTTTATAGGGAACTTCTTGTATTAATATTTTCCATTTGGTTAACTCCACAGGAGAGGAAAATTCGGTTGCAACCAATTTCAGAATATATTAATACTCTTGGTACCTAGGGTTTAACTTGTAGCACCCACATCTGTAGCACTCATATCTTTCATGTTCAACTGAGTGTGGTATATTTCACCTCCATCTTATATTCCTCTCACAAATTGGGAGCAGAGACTGCTATTAAAGAAACTAAATTCTCAATTAGAATGTTAGTTTTTAAAAAATAATAAATCTGGGGAAAATGTACACTGAAACAAATTACTGTCATCACATTGAATAAAGTATAAATTATAATTTTCAAAGTAACAACCAAAAAAGAGACCTTTGTATTGGCCAACCATAAGGGATGTGAACATAGAAAGTATAAAGGAAAAAATTTTTTACACCAAGTAAATTCCCACTGCCTCCTTTATTTTCACAAGTACTGATTAAAACTGTGAAAATGTGTTGTTTTATTTCAAATCCTTTTTTTTTTTTTGAGACAGAGTCTCACTTTGTTGCCCAGGCTAGAGTGAGTGCCGTGGCGTCAGCCTGGCTCACAGCAACCTCAATCTCCGGGGCTAAGCGATCCTACTGCCTCAGCCTCCTGAGTAGCTGGGACTACAGGCATGCGCCACCATGCCCGGCTAATTTTTTGTATATATATTTTTAGTTGGTCAATTAATTTATTTCTATTTTTGGTAGAGACGGGGTCTCGCTCAGGCTGGTTTTGAACTCCTGACCTTGAGCAATCCGCCCGCCTCGGCCTCCCAAAGTGCTAGGATTACAGGCGTGAGCCACCACGCCTGGCCTCAAATCCTTTTAAAACTTAAAACTAGTACAGACTTAACAAAAAAAAATCTGTCTTACACTATGCAAGGAATTAAAAGGTTCTTATGAGGACTAAGTCCTTAAATCTTACTTCAAAGGATGCTGAGCTTTCTATAAAGGAAAATGTTATGCACACTTCAGATATTCCAAATATTTTGAAGATGAGTATAGAAAGTAATCAATTGGAGAATATATATTTAAAAACACTTCAAAGAACGTATTGAAATGGGGAACTTGTTGCTTTGGATGAAAAAGTAAAATAGGTAGGAGTTAAGTGGGGGTAATCTTGGATTCCCAAAGACCACTCCAGAGCCACCAATACCTGTGCCTACCTGATATAAGGTTATAGGACTTTGAGAAGAGGGTATGCTATGCAGATGCCTGTAAAGATTTGGGCATTCAGTGCCTTCACATAGCAGCTCAGGCAGAAGTCCTAATTCTGGAACATCACCTTAGGAGATTGGAGCAGCTGGCAGAGCTGGCTGCCTATTAAAGGTCCCTAAGGATATGAACAAAGAGCAAAAAACCCTCTCCGTGTTCTGTTATAGACTCAGAACCAAGACTCTATTTCCCCTGTTACCCTGGAACCATATATAAGCACAGGGAAAATTTTTTTATGAACTACCAAAGTTGAATAACAAGTAAAATTTCTTACCAAAAGAAAAAAATTTAACAGATTAAGAAATGTGGTTTGATTAGTACTTAAGATTTATGTTTTCTTTTGGATTACAAGTGCTAAAATCAAAGTGATCAAAAAATAAATTTTATTTAAAATGAAAGTAACATGCTGGTGTAACAATTACATCTCTCTATACCCTAAAGTAATTTATAATATATGCTTTTAAAAAACTATCACTTGCCCATCCCATATTTTCCCAAATCAATCACTTTGGTATTAAGCTTTACAGGAAGCTGTAATTCGGTAGAAATGAGTATATACTTAAGGTTTTGCTCTGTGGGTTTAATTTGCAAAAGTAAATTCAACAAATCTGGGGAGGGGAAATTCCACCTACTTTCGAGATCTTCCATATGTGCCTGAAGAGTTCTTGCAAGGTTAATAAACTAGAAACAATGCAGAAAGAAATACAGTAGTTTAAATGTTGCAAATGGATCTAAAGAGAGAATCAGTATAGGAGATTCATTTCTATTTAAAAAGTCAAACATCATTTTAAACCTTTAAATAGGGGTCTTTCTCCCCCCACATCAAAAATTATAAGTGTAAGGGTATTATTTTTTAAATGTTTTATATAATCATTATTAATCATGTAGAAAACAGTTTCTTGAAATTGGAACAGATACAATAAAATAATTTCATCCAATGGTATTATCTTCTTGTATAACACTTTAAAAAATTACGAAACGGAGGGGAGAAAAAACCAGAAAACCCTTGTAATTTGGACACAAATGAATTCAATGGTAATGGTCAACTAAAAAAAAAAAAAAATACTCCCAAGAATCACTATTTTCCTGCCTGAATTTGATAGTTTTAAAAGTATACATTTGGTTCTATAATTTAAAAGTCCTAAAAATGACTTGCTATTTGGAAAGTCAACCAACACTTTGGAATGTTCCACTATGGAACTTCTTAACATTTACAAACACATGAATTCAAAAGACCTTCTATGCTTTATTCACTCTGAAGAGCTAAGACACCTTCTTAGAAATCATTTCATAGCATTAACTAAAGTTAGGGGCTTATGATTTCTAAAATACTTATGTTAACAGTTTGTTCACTTTTCTTTCAATGATAATAATCTGTCAACTGGCTCACTGGAATAATGTCCACGTGATGATAAAATATAGAAAAATATTTTACTAATTTAGAAGAATTATATACACTGAATTACAGTTATTTGATAATTTTCAAAGTAAAAACATTACACTTTAACATGAATGCTACTAAATCTTTATCAAAGTGAACATTTATATAAAAAATGGTTTGAAGAATGTATTTATGAACACATTTCAAGATATATTAAGTGTTCAGAATGCTACAATAATGAAAGACATATATAGACCCTAGCACCCGCTACACAAAATGGCCAAGGCAATAAAGTATAAAGTTCCCTCCTCTGGTTATATCGAGGCAAACAGCATCATTTACTTACAAATGTCTAAACCTAACAAACAGCCAGCCTAAATATTGTATTATGGTTAATAGTGTACATAATAAACACCAACTAGTCCCTACCGTAAATAGTTTGGGATATAGACACTTAAAATTTAGTGTACTGGTAATCTTAAACATAATAGTAACAAAAAAATTGAAGTTAATTTCCCATACTCTTTTGGCTTTTGGAGTTCAATTTCAGGTTTCTAAGTTATAATACGAGGGTGTTTTTTTTTTTTAATTAAAAAGAACCATTTTCCCTTGGTGTTTCCAATTCTGTCCCTAGTTTTCACTGAAATATATTCCAATTACCTTCAAGAGCTAGAAAATTACTTCTCTAAAATAGTTTTATGAGAAAATCAGTCTGCTTGTTATAGAAGGAAGACAGCAATTACCATTAAATCTATAATATCTTTATTTTTATAAGAAACATTTTAAAATAAGAGCACCCCAAAGGAAATAGGATGTGAACATATAAAACAATCTGCTTTCCAAGGCAAACACTTGCTGGTGTCACACCCTCCCTCTCCCCCACTCCAATATTACTTACTCGGACACGTGTGCTTGGTTCATTTGTATTTCCCATCATATCTGAAAAGCTTTGTTCGCACAAGTGCAATAACACAACTAGGTAGAGACCAGAGCTGATAAACTCATACTCAGCCTTCAACAGGGAAGCAAACAAGAGGAAAGGAAAAATATGGAGAATGAAAAATTAGTAGAATCAAGATCAATATTCACAGTACACTGAAAAACTAGAGGAAATGTACTCACATGCAGTTCCTAGAAGGGGATACAATGAAAACAAGAAATAAAAGATTGTCCTGTCCTTCATAATTTCATAAAATTTTACTAATGTCATGTGATGAGTACAAATAAGTATAAATATCCTTTTTATTCTCAGTCTTCCTTTATGTAATGATTTATATAAAAGTAGATATTTTTAATCAATGAATGCTCTGGTTTTCTATACAGCTCAAATGGTGTTTACTTAAAACATACCATTTACTATCACACCTAAAATCTACTGTGACAGCTGAAGTTTTTGTGTGTAATACAATGAACTTAACAGTAACAGTAAATAATGACTAAAGGTAAGAGAATAACTTGTATCATTCACAGAGAAACTGCAGTTGGTAAAAACAGAATTCTTTGGTTCAAAACTGTCCCGTTTTTTTGAAGATACGAATACAAGTCATAAATATAGTGTTATTAAAAATCTAATCAGTCCTGTAATTTTTACACCTAGTGAACGCCTTATAAATTGCAGCTTTTTTGAGCAATTACCTCATCTTAAGTTAAGCATTGGATGTTCTTAGTATCAGCTTTAGCAAGTAACTGGTTATCAGATTCTATTGAGTATTCAAGAGATTTGAAATTAATGCTTCAGTATGTATGTATTTATTTGTTAGTTTGTTTGGCAGAGTTTTGCTTCGTTGCCCAGGATAGAGTACAGTGGTGTCAGCATAGCTCACTGCAACCTCAAACTCCTGGGGGCTCCCCTCAGCGTCTGGAGTAGCTGGGACTACAAGCAAGCACCATCATGCCTGGCTAATTTTTTTTTTTTTTTTGTAGAGACAGTCTCACTCTTCCTCAGGATGATCTCCACCTCCTGGCCTCAAGCAATTCTCTTGCCTTAACCTCCCAAAGTGCTAGGATTACAGGTGTGAGCCACCAGGCCCAGCCTTATTTTGCTTATTTTTAACTTAAATGGACGTCATATATCCAGAAAACTTCAAAAAATTTTAAATGATTATCACCTTGGAAAAGATGAAGTCACTGGATAATGAGGGTAGCAGTTAAAATGAGGGTAGTAGGCCAGTAAAATCCATTATTCACACAGAACAAACAAGTTAAAGCCAGGAAGCTTAATCAAGGCTATCATTGTTTAGTACAATGACTACACCTAATATTTCCTAACACTTCTAAATTACTTAAGAATGCGAGTCATTAAAATGCTTGGAGAACAATAAAAGACAATAACACTGCTGGCTGAATTGAAAAATCAAAGAACTGCCTTTGAGAAACATGATAGAGCATCCAGAGAATGAAGATGGCAAGATAATCCTTTTAAACCTACTCTCATTTTGAGAAGAATATTTATTTATTTTATATTTATTTATTTATTTATTTCTGCGCTATTCAACCTTTACATATTCTTTCTTCTGCTCTTTAAAATACCAATGCTCTGCTCTCTACAAAGACTCCTTGGGAATTTAATTTCCTTGCTGAAAGGGATTTCTCTTTTAAACAACTAGCTCATTAGAGACTAAAACATAACTGGTATTACAGTAGCAGCTGTGCTACATCAACTGCTTTATGTTTCATTTTTTAGATCAGGGATTCTTAACCTAGATCTAAGCAATTAGCTTCAAGGGATATGAGAATCCCTTAAATTTATGTCCGTATTTTAAAGAGTGTGTACATAGTTTTAATCAGATTTTCAAAGAGTATTGCCACATTTTAAAAATAAAAGCTGTTCACAAAAGATCACATACTGTATGATTCCATTTATATAAAATACCCAGAATAGGTAAAACACAACAGAACATAGATTGGTGGATGCCAGGTACTGAGAAAAGGATGAAATGGAGGCCAACTACTTAAAAGGTACAGGGATTTTCTTTTGGAGTGATGAAAATATTTTGGAACTGAAAAGAAATGGTAGTTGAACAAAATAGTGAATATACTACCATCACTGAATTCTTGACTTTAAAATGGTTTTCATGTTTTGTGAACGTCACTCAATATTTAAAAGGAGGGGGGAAGTCAATTACCCCTTTATTTAAAAAGTGGTTTTCAAGTATTTCATGCATTTCCTTGCCTTCATATCTTTTTATAATAAATATGCTAAATCACACTTGAATAGTTTGACTCTAGAGTTATTCTTGTAATCTCCTTAACTATCTTCCTTCCCCACCCCAAATTTTCCTTCAGTAGGGAAAATGGGGAAAATATTTAGCTTTTCATTCTAACTGTATCATTTAAGCATCTCAAAAACTTACAACTCTGGGGAAATAAGGTTGGCATGCCTACTTTGGGACCACTTTCCTAATTATTTTCAGGTTTATCTAGGAAACATGACAAATGTTATCTGAATAAATTAAAAACCTGTGACTTTTCTTTCACTTACAAAAAGTTAAGGAAAAAAATAAAGAAAAATTATGAAATGATAACACCTAATGCAATAACAGAAAAAATTATGTTAAGACTATTACTATTATTATTTTAATGCAGAGTTTCTGACCATGATTTAATCTTTTCTTCAAGAGCTGTCCTTTAAGCACAGAATAGACACTTACCAAATTAGGCAAAATATACTAACTTGTTCATTTGCATGAGCTCTATGTAGTTCGTGAATATCAAAATCCTCCAGATTAAGCTGCAGCTTCTCTTTACAGAGTTCACAGGTGGTTACAGCCTCTAATGAAGAACCTGATAAAAATTAAATTACAAGTAAAGCTTACTTTTATAATGCTTTCACAAAACAAACATTTTTCCTCCCAAGTTTTAAGCTTAAAAGAAAAAAATCTTAAAGGGAAGGAGAAGAAAAATTACATTACTGCAGTAAACCAGCAGATAAGAATCTATAATACTAAAATAAGAATAGTAAATATTCTAAATACTAAAATAAGAATCTATAATAATGTGCACGTCAGATCCTGCCCTATGGTATTTAAGCCTCCACCCATTATTTAGATATCACTGTTGTTTTTTCCTCCCAGATACTCATACATCCTTGATCCTCAAAAGCTGACAGAGGCAATGGAATAATTATCTGTATTTCCTATTTCCTCCTTCAGTATCTTGGCATGATGTCATGAAAACAACGTTTAATGATTTAACATCTCAACTAGTTACATATCTAGGCTAGTATCTTTGATATGACAGCATATGTATATATATAAGACCTACTGGAATCCAAGGAATGTGCCTACCCTACTGCGTAGGAGGGGAAAAAAGGAAGGCCATCATTGTCCAAATAAAAACAGCTCCTCTCAGCCATAAAAGGAGTTACGTTCTGACACATGCTGTAACATGGATGAACCTTGAAAACACTATGCTAAGTGAAATAAAGCAGATACCAAAGGACAAATATTTCATGATTCTACTTATTATGAAATATCTGGAATAGGTCAATTCAGAGAGACAGAAAGTAGATCAGAAGTTACCAGGATTGGAGGGAGGAGTTACTGCTTAATAGGTACAGAGTTTCTGTCTGGGATGATGAGAGAGTCTGGGAAATAGTGGTGATGATTGCACAACACTCTAAATGTACTAAACATTACTGAATTGTATACTCAAAAATGGTCACAATGGAAAATTTTATGTAACATCTATTTTACCATAGTTTTGTTTGTTGGTTTTTTTGTTTTTTTTTTTAAGAAAAAGACCTCCTGTTCCATATCCATTTAACATTTGATTATTCTAAACTTTTGCCTCCAACTTAATAGCTAGTAGCTTTGTCTAATTAAACATTTAGCTTTCCCCCTTTTCTTGTGTTCATTTTTAGGTAAGGCTTCAAATAGAAAAATGTCTTAAAATATTACAGGAACTTACATAACATATGAGTAGAGGCTTAAATTCAGTTCAACTGACATTTTTATTTGTTGAATGGCTATTGTGTACCAAACAATAATCAGAGGTTCTAGAGATACAGAAAAGAGTGGTAGCTCCTATCTTCAAAGAGGTCACAAAACTCTCACAGCAGTAGTAACACAAGCACATCTTTCACAAAACAGCTGAAAGGAAAGTGAGCACTGATCTGAGGAAGTTATGTTGCCTATGCTGCCTCAAAATGAGCGGCAATCAAATTACATCAAGTTTTTATTATATTTCAAGTATATGAATAAAACCCAGTTTTCTGTTTTGTTTTTGAGACAGGGTCTAGCTCTGTCACCCTGGTTACATGCAGTGATGTCATTATAGGCCACTGCAACCTCAAACTCCTGTGCTCAAGCAATCCTCCTGCCTCAGCCTCAAGTAACTGGGGCTACAGGTGTGCCCGGCTTATTTTTTTAATTTTTTGTAGAGACCAGGTCTCACTCTTGCTCAGGGTAGTCTTGAACTCCTGGCCTTCCAGAGGGCTAGGATTACAGGTGTCAGCCACTGCATCTGGCCTGTTTTTTTTTTTTTTTTTTTTTGAGTCTAACATACATGAAGATGTTAAAATGCATTTCTTAATTATTAGCAATATCATTACACTGGGCCAGGCGCGGTGGCTCACACCTGTAATCCTAGATCTCTGAGAGGCCAAGGCGGGTGGATTGCTCGAGGTCAGCAGTTCAAAACTAGCCTGAGCAAGAGCGAGACCCCGTCTCTACTATAAATAGAAAGAAATTAATTGGCCAACTAATATACATAGAAAAAATTAACCGGGCATGGTGGCGCATGCCTGTAGTCCCAGCTACTCGGGAGGCTGAGGCAGCAGGATTGCTTGAGCCCAGGAGTTTGAGGTTGCTGTGAGCTAGGCTGATGCCATGGCACTCACTCTAGCCTGGGCAACAAAGTGAGACTCTGTCTCAAAAAATATATGTATATATTATTACACTGAACTAAATTCTGGATAAGTCTATGACCTGATGGAAGATAAAATGAGAAAGATATTTTAGAAAGCTTTATTAGATATTTCATAAAATTATTCTCTGATTTACCAGTAAGAAAAGTATAATAATCCTAAGAGATCATTTAATAGAAATTTTATTATATCTTATGGCTTCATTTTTCTATTCTGTAGTATAATACCAAAAGTCATTCAAAAACGCCAAACACTGTTGGGAGCAACCTATTTATCCCTACATTCCTTAATCAGGGTTCCTTCCATTATACTTCACCTCATTCAAGAGGCCCTAACTACATTTGCCTGAACTTGTACAACTTTTTTATTCATCTTTCTATGCATAAAACTCATATAAACTTTAGAGTTAGCAATCCATATATAATAGCCGTTTGAATATTTATCAGGAAGGTTCAGTTTTTAAATCTATACATTCAGTTACTCATATCTTTAAAAGTACTTATTATAACTTTATAAAAATAATTCCCATGTAATTGAGTATTTACCATGTACCTGGTATAGTGTGAAACCATAAAAATTATCTATCGCACTGGACAGTCACAACAACTCAGTGGTATTACTCAATTTTACTCAGGATGGAACTGAGGCCCAATGCCAGTTCTACTTAAGAATCTTTAGGAGTGGATCTGAATCATCGTTTTTATTAACATCAGTGGGTGATTTTAAGCAGTAACCAGGATTGAGAACCAATTTTAAGAAACATATACGGTGCCTATATAGCCAGCTAAGTGTTGGAGCCAATACTCCAATCTAGGTTTGTCTAATTCCAAAAAGCTAATTTTCTTAAAAAATAAACTGTTTTAATCTGTTTTCCCCCATACTCAACAAATATCCAATTGCCAATGCATCAGAAGTTGAGCTGAATTGTTGTTCTTCATTTTGGTAACAGTTAATACTTCTGAGCCCTTACTAAGTGTCAAGACCTACCATAAGCACTTTATGTGTAATCTCTCATCTAATCCTTACATCATCTCAGGGCAATGAATTATAATACCCCAATCTTTCACTTAAGTCTTAACACTCCAAGGCAGTGCTTGTTAGTTACCTTAACACCACACAGCAGAGAGAAGAGGTTGCTATAGGTTAAGATGGCTTATCTCAGAGCCCTGGGCCCAGACTATCTTAGAATAAAGATAGTTCTTCACCCCTTTTGCCCCAAGGTGGGCCTTTGCTCTCCCCTTGACTACAACATTAATGGGAGCTGGGAGAGGGGGGGGTCCCAGCAGCTCCATAAATTACAGCTTGAACAGGTTTCCCAAGTCCTCCAACAGATTATGAAAATTAAAATCAGTGCTATCATATTTGCTTATGTCACCAAGATGTCAGACCTTTAATCTCACATAATTATGTACATTTATTAATCTAATTTCCCACCTTTGTTTTTTTTTTACCCTCCTAACCACTGCCAATGTGCCCTCTGGTACTCACTATCTAACATCAGCAAATCCTTCTAATAACTAACCTTTTTTGTGAATTATCTCTTTACCTTCATGCCTGAACCACAATGCTCCCTGACCAATACCTGTGTATATTAATACTATTCTACGGTCATTTTTCCCCCACAGCCCCTCAGTAACTTAGGAGCAAGAAGCAAAGATATTTTGACAGCCCCCCCCCACCCCCGCCTCATCTAACAAACGCATTGCTGTTTTCAAATCTTTTTTTTTTTTTTATTTAAATTTTTTTTTTTTTTTTTTTTTGAGACAGGTCTCGCTTGTTGTCCGGCTAGAGTGAGTGCCGTGGATCAGCCTAGCTCACAGCAACCTCAAACTCCTGGGCTAAGCGATCCTTCTGCCTCAGCCTCCCGAGTAGCTGGGACTACAGGCATGAGCCACCATGCCCGGCTAATTTTTTATATATATATCAGTTGGCCAATTAATTTCTTTCTATTTATAGTAGAGACGGGGTCTCGCTCTTGCTCAGGCTGGTTTTGAACTCCTGACCTTGAGCAATCCGCCCGCCTCAGCCTCCCAAGAGCTAGGATTACAGGCGTGAGCCACCGCGCCCGGCTTGTTTTCAAATCTTAATTCCCCTCTCATTCATTAATGATTTTAGTACCTGGCTTTGTCTCCACTAACTTACTTTTTGGTTATTTTTTTTTTTTTTTTAGAGATAGGTTTTTTGCTCTGTTGCCCAGGGTAGAGTGCAGTGGTATCATCATAGCTCACTGCAACCTTGAATTCCTGGACTTACGAGACTGCCCTGTCTCAGCCTTCTAAGTAGCTAGCACCACAGGTGTGCACCACCTCACTGGGACATCCACAATTTTTTTTATTCTTTTGTAGAGATGGGGGTCTCACTATATTTCAGGCTGGTCTCAAAGTCCTGGCCTCCACTGACCCTCCTACCTCAGCCTCCCATAAAGTGCTAGGATTACAGGCATGAGCCACCGCACCTGGCCCACTTTTTGGTAATTTCAACTTCTACATATACTATTCACTTTGAATTCTTACTTTCTCAACATCCTTGCTTCCAATATTTTCCCCTACTCAGCTATCCACTCTAAGGTCATACCACTGACCTTGCCACTAAAATTTACCGCACTAACTCATAATCTATATTTTAAGTATCCTCTCCTCCTGTATACCTACAATTTCTTTCTTCTTTTTCTGTAGAAATGGAATCTCACTGTGTTGCTCAGGAAGGTCTCAAATTCCTGGACTCAACCAATCATTCAGCCTCAGCCTCCTGAGTAGCTATGATTATAAGCGCATGCCACTGAGCAAGGCCCTGTGTACCTACAACATCTTATTCCAGCTTACTCTGGCAATTCTCTTCAACGTCAATTAGACTCAAAGACACTGACTCTACCACTTTTTCTCACTATCCACTTTCTAATGTCCTTACTTATGTTCTGATCTTAATTCCCACGATCACCACAATTATGTTCCTACAGATAACCCTTAACTTCCTTCATCATATTTGCCTGGCAAAGGACCCACCATCATTGAACTCTAATCTATGTCTGTATCCAAGCATTTGAAAATTGCTTTGTAAGAAATGTAGTATATGTGTCTTATTTTAAAAATCACTTTTATAAATACTAACACTGCCTGGAAATCCTACTATACATCCTTAGAATGCTATTTTACCCACATTTCAAAACCTTCTAACCTGTCCCCTAATCGGCTAAAGACCTTAACTCTTTAAGAAAACAAAAGCAATTATATAGAAAATCATGCATCTTCCCACCAAAGCAACAAACTGATCAATATCATATCTACATTAGCCTTCTGGAGATAAAATATCCTTTCTCCTCCTATTAACGGCTAACCCCTTAACTTGTGCTCTGGGGATCCCCATCTTCTTTCTCTCCTTTTTGTAATTTTTTCTCTCTCCATTAAATCTCTGAAAGTAAAAACAAGCCCTAAAATCTCCTACCTCAAAATAAAACATATCCCATGACTTCATATAACTAATTCCTGCCCAATATTTCCAATCTCCTTGACAGTAAATTTGGTGAAGGAAGAGACTATATTGCTGTCTTTCTTATCTCTTTTTCTGTCCTCAGTCCAGTCCAATCCGGCTTAGGTACTCACCACTGCACAGAGACTAAAGACACCAAGCACATTCTATGTTATCAAAACCAATTGTCATTTCTTTATTCTCATCTCACTTGACCTCTCAGCAGTACAGGATTGATCACACTCTTCTTAAAACACTTTTTTCCTCTGGCTTGCACACCATATTTTCTTGGTTTTCTTCCTACCTGACTGAAGGCTGCTTCTTCAAAGCTCTTTCTCCACTCTCGTTAAACATTTGGATGCCCAGGGCTCTGTCCTGGGTCCAATTCTTTGATATTCATCCATTTTCCAGTTGACCTTATTTAATCCCAAAGCTTCAAATGTTACTTATGTGGTCTTAATTCCCCAAACTATAACTTTCAGTGTTTCTCCTGAAATGCCAGGCTTCTCTACCTAACTGTCTACTTGACATTTCCACATGGTTAGCTAATAAGCAGCAGTTCAAATATATGTGCAAAACAGAACTCTTGATCCCTTTTCCAGCTTCCTTTAGTTCAGTAAAAGGCACTACTATTCACTTAGTGACTGCTCCAAGCAGAAATATGAGCTTCTCTTATTTTTCTTTCTCCTTCATTCTATCATGTCTAATCCATGGCAAGTCTTATATAATTCTCCTCCAAAATATACCAGATTCTATCCATTTCTATCATCATCACCACTACTATATGTTAGCCACCACCAACTCTAGCAAGTGCTACTTTTAATAAACTCCAGATTAGTCCCCCGTATCCACTCTTGTCCCCCTAAAATCCATTCTCCACACAGCAGCCATACATAAATAAGATCATTTCATTCCCCTCCCGCTCAGTGGCTTCCCATCATACTTAAATAAAAATCTAAGCTTTGGACCGTTGCTTTAAAAGTCTTGCATGACCCCAATTACCCTGATTTGATCATTACACATTTTATGCCTGTTATCAAACATCACATGTAACCCCTATAAATATATACAACTCTTATGTGCCCATAATTAAAAATTTTAAAAACCAGATTAAAAAAAAATTAAAAGTCATACATGAACTAGCCTCTGTTAATCTCTCTCATCTCAACTGTATCACCCTGCCCCTAAAACACTAATTATACACTACCACTGTGTATCATTCAGCTCCTCAAATACACCAAAGTTGATTCCCATATTAAAAGTCTTTGTAGTGGCTATTCTCTCTGCTAGAATGCTCTTCCCTTCTTTCTGTAATAGCTCAGCTCTAAATTTAAATGTTCTCACCTCAGAAAGTAATTCCCTTAACACCCAATACCACCACCACAGAAGCAGGCGCCTTATCAGTCTTGTTTACCACTCTATAAACCACATCTGGAACTGTGTCTGGCTCTATTACAGGCACTCAATGAACAAAATAATTTAATTTGCTAAGTGACACAAGAGCATTAGAAATAGTTAAGTTTTTCTCAGGGATACATAGCTAGTAAATGATGAGTATATTTCCTTGATTTCAAAGTATATGATGTAACGGTTACTAGTGATTACAAATTATAGTTGCATTATACACATATGAAGAAGTAAATTGTTTGTTTGAAAATGAAACATAAACATTATTACAAATTAAATTTATGAAGCAAGACTAATAATGTTCTTTATGCTTTTGTTGATACTTCAAAAATGATACTTTTGGGCAATATACGTATCCTTAACATTTGTACCCCCATAATATGCTAAAATAAAAAAAAATAAAAATAAAATGATACTTTTGATTAAGAGCCTAAATTCAATAATAAACTTATTCACCAAAATGCATACATACATACATGCATCTCTTGGAAAAATGCTGAAGGCAAAATACACAAAAGGGTTTATCTTACCAGAGTTAATTTTGGCCTGTAACCACTTTTTCATACACTCTTGGTGGACATACTGCAAACTTCCTGTGCACTTGCATGGCTCTATCAGCAAATTAGATGATGATGCAGCTGCCATCTGACAAATTCTACATAAATCACCTTCTTCTTCTTCAGAGTCCTCTAAAAGGAGGCTGGAAAAGAAGGCATATTTCCCAAAAAGAGATATCATAACTCATCCTGGTTGGTCATTTCCAATCATACATCATAAATAATCTCTTTTTTACTATTTCTACTCATGCTCTCTCTGGGAGGAAAAAAGCAAACACTAACAACAAAAAAGTAGTAATAATAAACAGTAACCACCATGAAAAACCATTTCATTTAGAATAAAAATCATAAGCATTTCAAAGGTAAATAAAATAGGACAGCTTATCATTTATCTTCAAATGATTTAAGTAATTTTGTCTGTGGTAGCACAGTTTAAGATCCATATTATTCATAATTGCTTTGTAAGTACCACTGAGAGATTTTAATTTCTGCAGTATTCCAGACTACATCAAGTCCAATATAATGTCTTAGAAATTCACTTTTGTCCCTTACCTCCCCCCAAATTTTAAGACTATTTCAATGAATTAAACACATATTGCCTTGTGGTTTCTCATTTATGTGTTATCAGAACCCCATGTTTAAACTGATACACTTTTTGTATTCTATCACAGTAAAAAATTTTAAAGTAGATTTTAAAATTCTCCACTTGATTTCTATACAGGTAGGCTTTTAAAGCATGAAACAGTTTCCATTAACTTTCGTCCCCTATTTAACAGGCAATCATCATCGTGCACTACTTAATTTAAACAAAGAATAGTTACATAATAAGCAAAGTAATTGTCAAAATCTCTATTGCATTAGTCCACTGCTGGCATGAAAGAGGTATTCAATACATTGATAATACTGAACTGTTACTGAAATACAACCTGGATTATATGGATTCCTAAATGAACTTAGCAAAATATTTGGGGAAAGAGATGAACAGAGAGATATACAACTGCCAGGTGACTTTCATGCCCTAGCTTAATCAGAGACATGGCCTCAAGCACAAATACTTTGAAAGGCTAAAAACATAGTATTTATGTTTTATCTTTAAATTTAACTTTAGTCCCTTCATAGTTTCAACTATTCTTTACTTGGTAGGTTCAACTTTTTATACCCTTATTAATTTAGTTATAGAATGTCTTAAAATCTTCATGTATGAGACAAGATACAACAAAGGAACACACACGCTCTCACTTCTCTCTCTCTCTGGTAAAATAACCAACAAATGCTGCTTTTAAAACTAACTAGTTATGGTGGTGACTGGCTTAATATGTTCCCTCATAAGATCACTAAACAATTGCTTTGCCCTCTTGTTTATATTACGACAGTCAAATTAACCTAACCTCGAGGACCAAAAATATAAGTTACTGCATTCCTTAGCAGACAGCTTGCAATCAGAGGAAATTGCTATAATAAGCAAACATTAAAGCTAACATTACCAGAGTAGAGTAAATCTCTTTCTATACAAAAGGAAAAATAGCAAGTTTAAAAGCAGGGAGATAATGGCCACATGGTAATATCTGTCCAATAAAAGGAAAAATGGGAATCTGGCAGCCCAATGCCCAACATCTCAGAAAGTGTGCAAGGCTTCCTTTATTACCAGAAAGTTGGAAAGTATTTTCTTGTTTAAGTACCAAAAAACAAAACACAAAACAAAAAAAACCCTACAGTAACAACTATGCTTCCCAACAATTTTAATATACTGGACCTTTATGAAAAAGGAAAAAAAGACCCAAACTCACAACTTTAGCTTTATGTAGTAAGTCTTTTCTCCCTACACATATACTCTGTATGTACTACTCTATATCCTATTTTAGCATAAAAACTATTTTAACATTAATTAACTAGACTAAGATGACGAAATTATTAGTAAAGTTGGGAATGAAATCTGATAAAATAGAATCTTTTCACTCTTACCAGAGATTTTTAAGCAATGGTCAACTCTACAAAAAAATTTCTATTAAAAAATTCTATGCCCTGAATTTAAACTGGTATTTCTGTCAAATAATCCTAAGGTATAAAGAATATTCAGTACACATGTGGACTTCAAAAACAAAATAAAAATTTGTGCATCTGATTTTACTTTATTCCAAAAAAAAGATTTGAGGTGAAGAATACAAACAAGTGATAAATAAATCACTTTAGTAAAGGCTAAAACAGATTTAGAGGTAATTCATGATTACTTATTTCCTCTTACCAATTCCAATTGGGTAGTCTACCAAAGAACAGGGTAAGAAAAAAACAGAGTAAGAGATAATTGTCATCATATGCATCTGTAGCCTAAACTGGTAAAAAATAATAACCTTTAGATTATTTTTGATGCAATTCACATCCCCGGTGCCTATCCTCAATTATTTATTCTCATCTATTTACCTATGAGAGACTAACATTTATTGGATACAAATGTTAAGAGAAGAAATTTCAGATAACAATTTTATGAGAAGTCAATTTAGAAATAAGTTCTTTTTCTAAGCTGTCCTTAATATGCTTTATATGCTTAATACAGGTAATCAAATTTACCTCTCTTTTATTTTCTGCAGTTTTTCTGGATCTCTTGAAGCTGCATTTTTAGTTTTATCACTTTTTCCATCAGTTGAATTCCAACCTGAAGGAATAATATCTACAGTGATCATGACGTTGTCAGTCAAATTACTTCCTAGTGTTGGGGGGACTGCAAATCGGAATAAGGAACCAGGAAGAATCCCTGCTATTCCTGCATTTCTTCCACCTTGAGCTGAATCTGATGTGGAGCCACCTGTTGTGGCACTGCTCGATGCTGCAGATGCTTGTGGTCTGTTGGCAGCTGCCCCAAGGGGATCATTCTGTGCTTCAAGGTGAACCACTTCATTTGGTTCTCTTCTAAAAATATGAGATCTAGCTGGTATATCAGAGGTAGGTATCCTTGAAGATTCATCTCTTCCCTCTCGCCTCCTTCTAGAAAACAAAGGTGTGCACCTATTTCTAAGTGAAGAAGATAACCATGGTCCTGTATTTCTACCTTCAGATTCTTGGTTAAAATTTTCTGAATCTGACTCAGAGCTATGATTTTGGCTAAGAGATGACAAACCCCATCTTCGCCTAAGAAATCGAAATCCCTGAGAAGTTTCAGATGCCCTATTATCGGGAACTTCAGAAGTTGATGTTGCATTACTGCGAGACTGTGAAGCTGTCAAGATTCTTGGAGAAATGTAAGAATTTTCAGAACTCAATGATCTTGTATTCAAAGAATCCTGACTAGATCTTCGTGAAAAAAAAGTAGATGACATGCTAGATGCTATACGTGACAGCAATCTCCTGGTTGTCCGCCTACCTTCATTATCAGAAGATTCTTGAAATGATCTTTGAGATGAAAGAACTCTTTCTGAATTGCTTACGGTTGGGGTTTCATCTCTACTTGAAACATAAGACAATCCAGGCTGTGTATTGCTTCGGGGAGATTCTGATTCTCTTGAAGAAAAATTTGATCTTAAAGAATTTCTGCTAGAGTCCCTAGAACTTGGTATGGTCTGATGTTCAGAAGGCAAATGGTGGTTTGTGGATGATGTATTCAACTGTAAAGTGCTCACTGAGTTATCTTTTGGTCTTGCTCCCTGTGAATATGAAGAAGGAACTCTGTCTTGAACATCTATTTTTGAAAAGAAGGAAAAGTAATCAATTACATGAAATAATTTGAACATTGTTTAATTTGCGTTTATTAACTACTAATCACTGCCCAAATGAAACAATGTATTAAAACTGAATACCGCTGTATTTAACTATCACTATAGAAAACATAAAGATATTTCTCTAGTACTGGTGTGTAAAGCCAACTTTACAAATACAAAAGAAAGAAAGGTGTTATGAGCTTATGAAATGTAAACTTTTGATAAAGCTAAAACAGTTGAATTTACTGATCAGAAATTGATTGATATGGTAGAAGAATAACTAGTAACCTAAACTGAATATTTTAAATAGGCCAAATAACAATGTAAATGACACTTAAAATAATTAAAAGGAAAATTTGTTCTAGATATTTTTCATACTCTGTGTAATAAATATAAAAGTCATTTGTAATTTTATGACAAATCTTGCTAACAGCTAAAAATTTCTCCAACCTTTTATCCTTCAAGTTAACAGCAGTGGTTCTTATCCCTGATAACTCAAGACATACCTTTGCTTTTTAATATTGGTTGGGAACTACAAATCAGAATAGAGTTCTGACATCTGTATGAAAAAAAAAACAAAACCTAGTGGTTTGAATCTTCAAATGAAATGAGAAACACTACAGGATTCCTTTGTCAAGAATACTCACTCATACACCTAGTGTAAGAGGTACAGTACTGTGCTAATGCATGGCGCTTCATGAAAGGATAAACTGTTATGAGCTAAATCTATTTCTACCCTGCACCCTAAATCTATTTATACCCCCAAACTTAGAAGTTATTGGTACTGTCTACTAAAGCTCTTCAATTCAAAGCCAAGAAAATAAAAAGATGTTTTCATTTGTATTAAATAAAGCAAAGTCTTGCCCCAATAAGAGTTATTAAAATAACCTAAACCATTAAAAACAAAATGTATTTTCTTCTATGTAAATCAAACATGTGCCCTCTATATGTATGTGTACATACATATATGTATGTTTTTTAGATTAGTCAAGTGCAGTAGTGAGGAAGAAGGAAAGAACAGGAATTCAAATCTGTAACTCACTGTGAACAATCAACTGAGAGAATTCACTACTTTTGGTCCAGCCTGCCTGCTATATTTGTCAACTTCAATTACCACTTTTTTCCTTCAGTTACTTAATGTGATAGTTTTACTTCTGAAAGCTTAAGACTATATGTACAATGATTGTGAGTCTTTATGTTGATTCAATGAAAATAAAACTAACTCTAAATTATACCTTAAAATGGTGATTTCATCTTTAATTTTTTTCAGAATTTACTTATTAAACTATATACTTTATAGGCAAGTTATACCTGAGTATATAAGATTTAGTATGTTACTTTATAACATACACATTCTTAAAAGGAAAAATGTAATCAAAAACATTTAAAGGCAGAATTGGAATCTGAAGTCATATATATCTATTTTAAATTGTTTAGATTTTTAAAGCACAGGAACAAATAAGGTACAACAAGACATTATAAGCTATGCTGAAATGTTCATACGGACATAAGATCCACTTCATTTATTCCTTTGTACTGTTATTTTAGTGACATAAAGAGGAAAATGAAACATTAGTAGATAAGCTACACTTAATTGTGGAGTTTATACATACACGATGAAGTTGTGTAATCACCACTCCGGTGACTATAATCCATAAGATTACTAATGGAGGAATCTGTTCTCCTCTCCAAATCTCTCCTCTCTCTCAGTAAATCTGTTCCAAATGATCCAAGTACCATTGATGAAGATCTGGGAACTTGACTATGTCGCCAAGAAGAATCTTAAAATAATTAAATAAGTTTTATTTCAGAGAAAGCTTTCAAGGTTTCTTGATAACAAGTCTTTAGTAATACACAGAGAAGTTATTGTTATATATTGTAAGAATCCCCAGTTACACAGTTGCAATCAGAATCAAAATTCTGCAAAACATAAAATTATTCACTAATGAACTAATCATTTATAAAGTATTTCCTACTCATTCTTTTCTGCCCAACATTAAAATCTACCCCCATGAGGTTAATGTCTCAGTCACTTTTCATAATATTTGACCACATAATAATGTCAACATGATGTAAAATGATTACAGAATAAAAATGTAAATCTTGCCAAAGACACGGAATTTCACAAAAAGTCAACGAAAGTGTTGTAAAGAACTGCCAAAGTCAAAATCAAAGCCATCTTAAAATGGAAGGTATTGTACTGTGGGTTATAATACAATTTTATCAGAAATATACCACATCTGGTTCATTCTTTAAGAGCTGAAGTGTTGTTACAATTATCTAAATTTTATTAGATATGATTTCATTTAAAAGTAAATTAAAAATTATCTCAAACCTCTTTTACGCTCACTATTTACCTTGAAATTTGATTCTTCCTTTTCTAGTCCCAATAGCCTTAATAATTCCTCTTCATTAAGGGAAATAACCCAGTGTATTTAATGCTATGTCTTCACATAGCAGAAGAGAACAAAAATATCTCTGGCACAGTGGTTTGTCTACAAAGTTAAGGTCAGTCTGCTCTTACCCATCACACTACTCTTAATATCCTTCAGATGGGCAGTGTCTTTCCCATGGCGGTCCTGCCTATCAAAATAGAAAGGAATCGCTTACACTAATTCAATTAATAATACATAAGCATTTTAAGAATTTTACCTCCAATTGTGTCATCACAAGTTTTATCTCCCCTTAAAACTATTTCAGACATTGGCTAACATTTCATTTGAAGAGGAATGAGTGAGAAAAAAGCCTCCTGCCCTTTCAACAAAAGACCTTATCAATGTGTGCAACAAACATATGTCTCTGAATACAAAACACAAGCATAAAGCTTTACGGATAGACCATCTAAATCCCAGAGTGGTTAAGCAACTTGCCAATGCCACCCAACTAGTCAGAGGGCTAGAACTGTGACTTGCTAATTCTTTGTATGGAACTCGCACTAGAATGCCATCAACTATTTTCTTAACTGAAGAGTTTCTGTATTTTCTGAAAATAAATATTATATACCACAACGTTTATCATTTATAAAAGAAATGCTTAGGCAATTATTTTTAGCATATATCAGTAAATTTGGCTTTCTTAGTCACAATTTAAAAATTCATCTCCTGTAATAACCAAAAGAATACACATCATTTTAAACAATCTGATTACTGTATACTCCAGCCATTCTAATTAATTAAAATTTGCTCATATCTTGCCTAAGTAGGACATTTATACCAAATTTAAAATAAAAATGCAAAATAAAGAGTTAATATCAGTTCTAGCACTAACTTAAGGTAAGGTTTTAGAAATTCCATTACATTTCTGACCTACTGTCCTAACATACTCTCTACTTGCTTAATCACAAACCTAAAAACAACTATGTTACATCTGTGAAAAATGGATTTAGTCCAAAATATGTATTAGATCGACTCTTACAAAAATTTAATTTTTACCTGATACTGCATTGAAACCATTTCCAACATTTCTCCCAGCTGAGGTAGAAGTACAGTTTGTACAGGAAAGTTTAGGTCTTTTTGAATCATGATCCCGTTGCTGGTTTTGTGATCTTGAGCGTGCTCCCTGAGTTATCTCAGATTCACTATACCATGTAGATTGAAATGGTGATGCAGATGCTGATGTAGACTGTAAATTAAAAAAATTTTTTTACAAAACAAGATGCTTGCATTCAGTATTAGATTTAACCTACAATGCTCTAATAAATTCTCAAGGACTATGGTTCCTCATAGTACCAATTTTTCTACTATGTAGTTTTTCTTAATCTTTGTTCCCTTCTACCCACTTGTCCCTTTACTATTAACATATACTGTAACTGTATGTTGCTGATCAATCTGATTCAGATTAGTGTTCTTTATAACTGTATCTAAACATTTTATTATGAAATAATGAAGACCAAAAACTTTATGATTATTTTTCCCAGTTTATTATTTCAACCTTTCAAAGAAGTTGTTTCCTCTTAGAGTTGGACAAAACGCCAAGCTATAAGCTGTGAATACCTACTACAAAATAACATTTTTCGAGTAATAAAAAAAATCTCCCTGTTCTGATGCCTATTCTCAGGAATTATAATACAAATAATGGTATGCTAAAAAAAGAAGAAAAAAATCCTATTATCTGAAATTTCTTCATCAGTGAATCAAGAAACTTTATAAAAGCACATATTTAAGAACTGTTAGCTCACAGTTTTTACTTTTAACACGTATTTATACAAGATAAAACTTATAACACAAATGTCACTAATAATGTAAAAACTATTTTACTTCTAATTCTTTAACTGGTTAAACAGTTTATTCAACAAAAGGGATAAAAAGGAAATTAGTTTGTGTCCTCAAAAATTTAGGTTTAAATAACAAGAACATATTCCCACAATTATTGAAATTGTCCTATTATTTTTACAAAATTTTTCCTTCATTGCAAATTTCTCACCTGAGCACTTGCACACATGCACATGCACGCACACACACAAAGAAAGAAAAATCAGGCATATAATCTCTAAATTACTCAGAGACAGCAAGGACTCCCAAAATAAAAGTAATTTTCAGGATACAAGAAAAAAATTTTAAATCATATTAACACATATATTAGGCATGCAGTAAATGGTTTATTTATTAAAGAATGTTAAAATGAAACATCATTTTAAGTGTTATTTTGCTTAATGGGAGTTAAAAATTTAATGTATCATGGGTCATAATTACAGTCAAGATTAATCTAAAATTCATATGATAAACTTGAGTGTCCAAATACTGGGCTCCATTAAAGTTTTAGAGCAGCAAGCAGTCCCCAACGTATTTGGTACCAGGAACTGGTTTTCATGGAAGACAATTTTTCCACAGATCAGGAAGAAGGTGGAGCTCAGGTGGTAACACCAACGATGGGGAGCAGCTGTAAAAACAGATGAAGCTTCACTCTACTCCCCACTCACCTCCTGCCGTGTAGCCCAGTTCCTATTCCTAAATCTTAAGTTTCATGGAAAATGATTTTTCCATGAGGGGCAGGGGGGCGTTAGGTGGAGCTCAGCCAGTGATGTGTGGCCCAGTTCCCAATAGACCACAGACCCGTACTGGGCCGCAGCACAAGGTTTGGGGACTGCAATTTCAGAGTACAGATAATAGACAAGTTAATAAATAATATAAATAAGTACGAAACAGAAGGTACACTGAAAGTTTTAGAGAAAATGTCTGAGGGAGGTAGGGAAAGATTAAGAGAAGGTGATAACTGGAGTTCATTGGGCAGGCAAATGAAGGAGGACATTACAGACAGACAACATGAAAAAACATATAAACTATTCTATCGGACTTCTTGAGGAAAAATAAATATAAGACCCTGTCTTATTTTTGGGGAAACATGGTATATGTAAAAGCAGAAGATGCAAGCCTGATAAAGTAGGAATGGGCTAAATCAGTATTTCACCCATCCTCTGCCCAGAGAATATTTTGTAAATAGAATATAGCATTCTTCAGCTTAGCACAAACTTAGCCTCACACACCTTCCATATCTAACATTCCCCAGAGACCCAATCAATGAACTAGAAATAAAGAATAAGAAATAAAATTCATCAGATATTTCAGAATCAAACCATTTTATATGGCATTATTAGGGCACTAAGGAACCGTATCCTGCAGGCCAGTGGTTCTAAGATCTTTGGATTTCAGAAATAAAAAAAGTTTTAACTTAAAATTTTAAAAAACCCGCCATATTTGACATCTAAAACAGCAAATACCACATAATCCTGTCCCCATTTTTAAAAATGGCATTTACTAGGCCGGGCGCGGTGGCTCACGCCTGTAATCCTAGCTCTTGGGAGGCCGAGGCGGGCGGATTGCTCAAGGTCAGGAGTTCAAAACCAGCCTGAGCAAGAGTGAGACCCCGTCTCTACTATAAATAGAAAGAAATTAATTGGCCAACTGATATATATATAAAAAATTAGCCGGGCATGGTGGCGCATGCCTGTAGTCCCAGCTACCCGGGAGGCTGAGGCAGAAGGATCACTCGAGCCCAGGAGTTTGAGGTTGCTGTGAGCTAGGCTGACGCCACGGCACTCACTCTAGCCTGGGCAACAAAGCGAGACTCTGTCTCAAAAAAAAAAAAAAAAAAAAAATGGCATTTACTATACTTTCAAAACTTGAAGGATATAATTCAAAATAGAAGTATTTGAAATTAGATAAATTTAGAACTGAAGGAATATACATCAGAACTATTTTATAGAAAGACCTTTAGGAGTGTGGAAGATGCAAAGGATGGAATGGACAGAAAGTAGTAAAACCAATTAGTAAGCCACTGGAACTGCAAGAAGTCAGTCCTTGCAATAAAAGTAAAGGGAACAGAGAGCAATTAGAAAAAATTCTTCAGATTTAGAGACAACATGAGAAATTAAGAAAAAGTCTAAAATCACTCGTTTTCTGGCACTTGCTACTGGTAAGTGACTGTGCCACTCATTAAAAATATTGACTACAGAGGTGCAGGCTTAGTAAAATGATGTCATTTTAGATACTTGAATTTTGAAGTGCTCAAGGCTTAAAGACACATTCACCTTTCAGTAAACAATTTTCATGACTCATAACTCAAAAGTTAGCCTGTGCAACCTATGTATCACCCTAAACCCTTTTCCCAGTTTCCACAATCCAATTTTCTCCATTGTTCAAATATCCTCAGTCTGAAGCAATTAGTTTTTTCTCTTCTGAATTCTTTTAACAAAGTATTGGATTCATATAATAATATATTACTTTATCTCTTCTTATATCTACAATTACTGAGGCAAATGAAATCAGAGAATAAATCCATCTTCAAAGAATACTGCCTTGTGCATAACAGATGCTTAAACAAGTAGTTTTGGAGTCATGATGACTGATCAATCCTGCTTCTGAAAAACTGCCAAATCAAAATGACCTTAGCTGTAAGAAACAACTTACAACTCTGAGCTGTTCATTGTTTTAAATATTCTTGTGATAGAGTACCCATCTCCACACTAATGTGGAATAAACTTACACTCTTGTTTCTATTCAGAATGGGTGGTCCTCTCAGTTTCATAAAAAAAGACTGATCTTTAGAATATATAGATGCATCCCATGGCCAAATTTATGAGAAATCTAGGCAAGAAATGTTACTGATACAAAATGGCAAGATTTATGGTCTATTTAAACCTCAAGACACTCTAGGTACAATACCTGGGTCATGATAGACTACCAGAAAAATTAAAATATTTGGATCACTGTTGTGCTTTATAGTATTATTTTTACTGAGCTATATTTTGGCATCATGCCCTTTGCTTACGCCATGGTTTACTAAGGAACAGTTTCACTAAACTAAGTATGTACTTATAGTAGGAATACTGAGGATACTGTCTACTATATCATTTCACTGTTTATTTTCAGACCAAACTGCCAAACTTTGCTTCTGATGAATGGTGTATCTTTCTTTTCCTTATGAACAATACACAGCAAAGAGCTGGTTGTGTTTCCCTGTGTGTTCCTGCTATTCAAAATAAGAGCCCAAGTTTAACTTTAAAATGGTGCAGGGTTTACGTAATACCTATTAATGTTACAACCCTGACTCACTCTCAGTATTTTATCTATCACTTTCAGTATTCTACTTATATTTATCCTGATCACATTTAAAATTATCTTCATTTTCTTGTTTAACTGTATCATACATATATGTATTTACTAAATTCCTTAAGAAGCTACCCTTGCATAAGGTAGATTAAAAAAATTACTGATCACTGGTTCTTTTAATTCTTGAGGAAAAAAAAATACCATGCAAAATATGCATGGTACTGATCTTTTATAACAATCTATAAGCTATAAAAAGGTATAAATAACTTTAAAAAGCACCTACAACCATATAAAAATGCCTTATTATTTCATATTAAAATGAAAAGTAACCAAACTTTCAACAAAGCAACACAGGAAAGTGCAGTTGGATTAGTGGCTGCTTAAAGAAGTTACCAAAAATACAAAAGTAACCAAAAAAAAAAAAAAAAAAAATCACATTCACAGAATACATCCAGTTTTTACTTTTAATAAAATAAACTATAGCAATTACATTTTCTTTTCAAAGTATATAAATTCTGCTCTTACCAAAGAGATAAGATGATCATAGTTTTCAACCATTCAAATTGTAATAAAAACTTAAAGATGGAGTAACAGAAACAACCAGCACGATTAATATCAGGTGAAGCCAAGCTGACAAATGGCCAAGAACCACAAGATATTTAGGAAATCAATTGTTCGGAACTTAGAACCTACATTTTCCCAAAGAAACAATGCTATCCAGAAGTCTTGGATTCTTAAGCTCAAGTACATTATATCCTAATCATGTAACTGGGGGAAATCATTTATGTTTCCACACTTCAGATCCTTATCTATGAAATGATATAAATATCTGTCTTATTTAACTAAAATTGTAAGTGAAAAATGTCCTATAAAATATCAAGTACTGTATAACTGTAAGATGTTCCCATATTATTAAATCCATAACATAACTGAGATCGATCTACCATGCCTTAGCCTTGACCCTCCTTTATGAAGCTTCAGCTTCATTCACTAGGTGCCTGAAATAAGAAGGGTAGTTATGTCTGAGAAAGTTGTAAGAAAGCTTCAGCAATTAAAAAAAAAAATTGTTCTCTCTGACATTTAGAGGTCTCTTTCTTTCATTAAATACACATTTTGCTGAGCTGCTAAACAAAACTTAATATTCAACATGTAATTTTAATACATATTTGGATAACATTATACTAGTATGTATTCAAACCAATGTAAAGCCAGGAAATAATAGTATATATAACAATCATAACTATAACTAGTAACATCTGAACCTCTACTATGCTCTAGGTACTATTTCAAGTGCTTTACACGTATTATTTCTTTCCATTAAGGGTGACTTTATGAAGAAGACACTGTTACTATCACCATTTTAAAGAAGAGAAAACAAATAGAAAGAAAATACTTTCATTCAGAAACATAAGAGTTTCAATTTCTAGATCAAAATTTGAAAAGCAAAGCAGGATAACAATGATTGATTTATGATCCAAACTATTCCTATAATCCATTAAAGAACAGATTATAAACAATTTAAACAAGTGAAAAACATTAAAGAACCCCCCCAAAATATTAAAACCATCAATCTTGGGGGAGGCAGGGGCAATATTTGTAACCCTAACAATATTTGTACCTCCATAATATGATGAAATAAATAAAAAAAAGAAGAAAAGGGCCGGGCGCTGTGGCTCACGCCTGTAATCCTAGCTCTTGGGAGGCCGAGGCGGGCGGATTGCTCAAGGTCAGGAGTTCAAAACCAGCCTGAGCAAGAGCGAGACCCCGTCTCTACTATAAATAGAAAGAAATTAATTGGCCAACTGATATATATATAAAAAAAAAATTAGCCGGGCATGGTGGCGCATGCCTGTAGTCCCAGCTACTTGGGAGGCTGAGGCAGAAGGATCGCTCGAGCCCAGGAGTTTGAGGTTGCTGTGAGCGAGGCTGACGCCACGGCACTCACTCTAGCCTGGACAACAAAGCGAGACTCTGTCTCAAAAAAATAAATAAATAAATAAATAAATAAATAAATAAAAGTTTTCTAAATATATTCAAGACATTAGCACCTAAACTATAATTACTATAACAATTATGATAAAAACAAGTGCTGAAGTAACTAACATTTATATAGCGTCTATCATGTGCCACATATATTATCCTTCAATATACAGTATTAACTCATATAACTGTAACAACTGGATCAGGTAGGCGATATGGAAGCTAAGACAGAAAGATGTTAATAGCTAGTAAGCAGTGAAACAGGACTCCAATCCAAGCAGTACAGTGTGGTTTCAAGGTTTGTGTTCCTCACTAATAAGCTATATTACAATTAGACAAATATCAGTAGACAAAATTTTATAAAGAAAATATAGAGAAAATAATTCTGTTCCCTTTATGTCACCACATTGCTACAGAATGCAAAATATATGATTCATACCTCTAGCAAGTGTACATGTGCCTAGCAATAAAAAAGTATATCAATCATCATTTAAAATGAGACCAAGTAAACAGTTCATATATAGTCAGTTAAGAAGTATGTAATAGATAAGAACACTTAAGATATTTTTTAGTCTGTCTCTGAAAATTTTATAAAATGATTACTATGTAAAATATTTTAAAATGAGACTTTGTCATACACTGTATCACATGATATGTAAATATATAAATACTTAACAGAAATTTTCACTGAAGGATTCTTCTAGATTCAGTTACCTCAAAATCAGAGCTTTGCAAATCACATTATTTAATTAGCTATTCAGCCAAAAAGGTAATGAACTTAAGTTTGAAAGATAAGATAAACAGCATCAAGCCTATAGATCATGCCTTGTGAGACTCACACTGTCTTACACTGCAACTACTGTGTTACAACACTGATAAGCCATTTCAAATGGATAAATCAATGTAGACTCATTACTAACTGTGACAATAAAATCCAAAAATTCATGTAAAAGATTGTTGGTATCTTTATAAAAGGACAACTTGTTAATTTAATACTCATCCAACTTAAAAGCAAAATAGTTAGAAGTAAAAAAAAACCAACAAGAAAACCCAAAACATTTAAGAGCCATTATTCCACCATTGTTCTGTGTACATTCAGAGAAAAGTCAGATGAATGAGTGTGCAGTTAGAGGGAAAGGTTAGAGGGAAAAGTCTTTGTTCCTTTGACAAAGCCATCCACATTGACCAGTTAGTTATACTTATTCTGACACTTCCCATAATTCTGAAGTCCAAAAAGTTTGAAAAACATTAGTCACTGATTTTGCTACAGATATATTAATGTTTTGATTATAAGATGCCTCAGAACCAGCTATATCTTTTTAAAATACAAAAAAAATGTGGCCCCAAGGACTTTGAAAAAGACTATGTACACATATATATTCCAAATTAAGGTGTTACCTGATATTCAGAATCCAGTCTAAAGGAAGAGTCTCTTGAGTGATAGGTATCATTTAAACTACTTCCTCTGCTCCCAGACATCATTCTAGCACTTAAAGAGCTGGACGGTTGAACAGAAATTCTTCTTGGAATCCTTGAAGGTTTAGACTCCATTCTTAAGGTTTTCTGTGAAATGCAAATTTTCATTAATTGCCTTTGGGAAAACATGCAGGCCTTTACTGCTTAATCCTTATTAATCATCAGCTTAAATCAAGAATTAGCCATGCAAATTAACCATATCCCACAATGTAAATTGTGAGACTATCACCACTACCTCTCTTCTACAAGGCAGACCACCAATGGTTTCCTAACTATCCATAAAATGGAGCAAACTAATACAGTAAAAGCAGGATGAAAAACCTTGAGGTCTGCTGTTTTGCAATCTGGGTCCTTTTCCCTACTCAACTTTGCCTATATATAAAATCCAACATAAATTTATCCTTGATTTTCTTGGCACTTTTCTGTATTATTAGCGTTTTCAATGCTTACACTTATTCTGTTATTTGCATACCCCTTAACACAATATGCTCTCACATTTATATGAGGCCTTTATATTTGCCTGGAAAGTCTACACACTTCCCATCCAATTCTTGGTCATTGGTTTAAAAACAAGCACCTTTGTGTGCTTTCATTTTGTACATATTTTTATTAACATATCATACTATCCTGCACTATAATTTGTTTACCTTTCAATTTCCCCTTCTCAACAGAAAATTTCTAGGTCAAGATCATTTAAAGTATTTTAAAACTGTTGCCTGGAATACAGCAGGTACAATAAACACAAATTAAAATGATAAGAAATGGGCTGGGCGCAGTGGCTCACACCTGTAATCCTAGCACTCTGGGAGGCCGAGGCAGGAGGATTGCTCGAGGTCAGGAGTTAGAAACCAGCCTGAGCAAGAGCAAGACCCCGTCTCTACTATAAATAGAAAGAAATTAAGTGGCCAACTAATATACAGAGAAAAAATTAGCCAGGCATGGTAGCACATGCCTGTAGTCCCAGCTACTCAGAAGGCTGAGGCAACAGGATTGCTTGAGCCCAGGAGTTTGAGGTTGCTGTGAGTTAGGCTGACGCCACGGTACTCACTCTAGCCTGGGCAACAAAGTGAGATTCTGTCTCAAAAAATAAAATAAAATGATAAGAAATGAAGTTTATTTGCTTTTATTTACTACCCTTAATTATAACAAAAATAATAGCAATAACCAATATTTATTATTATATGCCAGCCTAGGGATAAGGACCTTCTGTTCACTTAATCTCCAAACCAACCCTGAGGTAGGTACTACATTATCCTCACTTTATAGATAAGAAAACTGGCACTGAGAGTAATTTGCACATCATCACACAGCTATACAGTGTTTTCCACAATGGTTTCAAAGAATACTTACTATACGATTGGAAAGTCACATATTTTAAGTAAAAAGGTCAACCCATGAAAACTACACATAAAGTATGGTTCTAATTATGTAAAAAAAAAAAAAAAAAGACAGCAAGGAAGAAATTTCTAAGTAAATAAACCAAAATGTTAAAACTGGTTTATATAAAATGTGGAATTGAATGCCTTCCACTTTATAGAGTAATAATTTCTAAATTTTCTTCACTAAACATTCCTTAATTCATGACAAACGTAACCATTAGCTACGCCTAATTTTTAACTGTTGGCCTAACGTATTTGTGAGATTCATCCATATTGCTACATGTAGTTGTTAAGTTCACTCTAATTTGTTTGGGTAGCATTCCATTGTATGAATGCACACAATTTATTTTCCCATTCTGTGACTGTACACTGGATTGTTTCCAGTTTGGGGCTATTACAAATAGTGCTGCCAAGGACATTACTTTCATAAATTAAAAAGACTTTTTCTGGGGCAAGGATTTAGAATCGGCCTCTGATCATATCTCTCACATTTAAGTGGAATCACAGGTATTTGTCATATTGTGATTGGCTTATTTTACTTAGCCTAATGTTCTCTAGTTTCATCTATATTGTAGCATATGTCAGAATCTCCTTCCTTTTTAAGGTTCAATAATACTGCATTGTATGCACAATCATTTCTCTTAAGGACACAGATATGTTTTGAGAAATGTGTCATTAGGCTCAGTTGGTCACTTAGCAAACATCCTAAGAGTCTACTTACACAAACCTAAATGTATATACCTTACTACACATCTAGCCTACTGCTCCTAGGCTACAAACCTGTAGGGCATGTTACTGTACTGAATACTGGAGGCAACTGTAACACAATGGAAAATATTTGTATATCTGGATATACCTACACATAGAAAAGATACAGTAAAAATACAATATTATATAATCTCATGGGACCAGCATTGTAATGTGATTCATCATTGACTGGAAACATTGTTATTCAGTGTACATGACTATACCTAAGAGTAGTCAAAATCACAGACACAGAAGGTAGAGTGGTGGTCACCAGAGGCAGGAGTAGAGGTAGAGAGTTATTTAATGAGCACAGAGTTTCAATTTTACAAGATGATATGAGTTATGCAAATAGATAGTGGTAGTGGCTGAACAACATTATGAATATATTTAATAGCACTGAACTATACATACACTTAAACATGGTTAAGATGGTTAATTTTGTTACATATATTTTACCACAATAAAAAAAATTGGAGGAAGGAGAAAAGGATGACGCATGGGGTTGAAAAATGAGTTAAATTAAAATCTGTATTTTTTTTTTTTTTTTTTTAATTTTTTTTTTTGAGACAGAGTCTCACTTTGTTGCCCAGGCTAGAGTGAGTGCCGTGGCGTCAGCCTGGCTCACAGCAACCTCAATCTCCAGGGCTCAGCGATCCTACTGCCTCAGCCTCCCGAGTAGCTGGGACTACAGGCATGCGCCACCATGCCCGGCTAATTTTTTGTATATATATTTTTAGTTGGTCAATTAATTTATTTCTATTTTTGGTAGAGACGGGGTCTCGCTCAGGCTGGTTTCGAACTCCTGACCTTGAGCAATCCGCCCGCCTCGGCCTCCCAAAGTGCTAGGATTACAGGCGTGAGCCACAACGCCCGGCCTAAAATCTGTATTTTGAGTAGAACCCCAGATTCCTCCCCAGCTCCATTCCCCCAAAGAAATCATATCTGT